TTCCTAACCACTTGGAAGGTTTATTTGCAGAAAATCCTTAATTATTTTATATATTAATCATAGTCAAATATTGAAAGAAATGTTTACGTCATAGACAAATATTGAGGAAACTACTGGAATAGAATCATATGCCACGGCACGGTCTGGTCAATTATATTGATGATGAATTGATAACTCTCTTTTTTCTCAATATGGCTAAAATAAAATATGAGGTTAAATTTAAAAGTTTTTATTATTAAAATATAGATACTTAAAATTAAATGTTTGCAACTATTAGCAAGGAATTTATGCCATATCACTTATAAATTCGTGTAACCATCATTTTAGAGAAATTAAATACTATATCAAAAACTTTGCTTTTTGTTTGAATACTACTCATGGATATCTCCTATATTTCTATCTTCATTTTTTTCGTCAAATAAAAAAATAAAAAACTTAAAATGTAACTATAAATACGAACATGTTAGGTTTCTACGTCTTACCACATTTACTATCTACAAAAGAGCTTAACAAGCTTCATTTTCTTTCTTTTGGTTTGCCAAGTCGAACCAAAAACCAACCTTTATATTATAACTATAACAATTTATTTCTAATAAAACCATGATAAGTTGGGGGGATGTTTACAAAGTTATCGAAGCAATGGTTCCACTCTATGTAGCTTTAATCTTAGGCTATGGTTCGGTGAAATGGTGGAACATCTTCACTCGTGATCAATGCGATGCCATAAACCGGCTAGTCTGCTATTTCACCCTACCTCTCTTCACCATCGAGTTCACGGCTCATGTCGATCCATTCAACATGAATTACCGGTTCATCGCGGCTGATGTTCTCTCTAAGATCATAATAGTAACGGTCTTAGCGTTTTGGGCCAAATATAGCAACAAAGGAAGCTATTGTTGGTCAATTACTAGTTTCTCTCTTTGCACTCTTACTAACTCTCTTGTAGTGGGTGTGCCATTAGCTAAGGCAATGTACGGACAACAGGCTGTTGATCTTGTGGTTCAATCCTCGGTGTTTCAAGCCATCGTGTGGCTCACACTCTTATTGTTTGTCTTAGAGTTTAGACAAGCAGGATTTAGTAGTAATAGTAAGCCAGATAACATCAATATCGAAGGTGGGGGAAGAGAAACTGCGGTTATGGTTGTTGCGGGAGAGGAAAAGTCCTTCCGTGAGGTCATGTCTGTCGTTTGGTTGAAGCTTGCAACGAATCCAAATTGCTATTCTTGTATCGTTGGGATCGCATGGGCTTTTATTTCCAACAGGTAAAAATGAATCGTCTAAAGTATATATTAGTTTTTTGAAATGTTTAACAAAGCGTTGTGTGCTCAGGAGACACTAAATTCGACGTCAAGCATCTAAGTTAACAACCGTTTAAATTGCGTGAAAACATCTTCGATCTATTGTTTAGGCCATCAAAATTGTTTTTCGTCTAGTGGAAACGCAAACATAAATACAAAGAAACAACCATGGCCATAATCTAGAGTGTTAACTTTTAAACCAATGAATAAAACAATAGGTTTAGGGTTTTGATTATTCTTTTGTACTATAGTCTATATATTACAAGCTATGATCAACCATATCATATGTAACAAATACTTAAATTTTGAATAATTGATGGAAATAGGTGGCATATTGAGATGCCGGGCATAGTGGAGGGGTCGATTCTTATAATGTCAAAAGCAGGAACAGGAACTGCCATGTTCAATATGGGTACGTACGTTTTTATTATGTTAATGCAAAATCTATATATTATGTAAGGTACCAAATTTTGAGATAATAGTGAGTATATATATACGCAGGGATATTCATGGCACTTCAAGGGAAGTTGATAGTATGTGGAACAAGCTTAACTGTGATTGGGATGCTCTTGAAGTTTATCGCCGGACCCGCCGCCATGGCCATCGGTTCTATCGCCCTTGGTCTACACGGCGATGTCCTCCGCGTCGCCATCATTCAGGTCATGATCCTTTTCTTGTACTTTTACTAGGGCTTATTAAATCAAGTTTAATTTGGTTTGATTTTTTTTCCTTCCACTTTCAGATTTTGAAATAAATTTCGGTTTATAAACAAAAGAAATCTATTTTTTTTTTAAATCCTCATGCTCGGTTTGATATATAGATAGTTCGGGTTTCTGTTTGATATAGATTTTATTATAATCTAACTTTTATTTGGAGAAGAATGGAAATTCAATGTTCGATGTATATATACATGTCGATTAGCTTTAACAAATTTGATTTGGAAAACTATAATACACTAAATTGTTTCCTTTCATCTTCTAGCTATAGAATACAAACTTTAAACTGTTTTTCAGTTTAATTATTAATTATTTATGTAATTACAGGCTGCTTTGCCACAGTCAATCACTTCATTCATTTTTGCTAAGGAGTATGGATTACATGCAGATGTTCTAAGCACCGCGTAAGTCCAATTTATGAAAAGCAATTAGTCTTCTTTTTTTTTTTGGTTATGTATAATCAAATTTTAATTATGGTAAATGTATAGGGTAATATTCGGGATGTTGGTCTCCCTACCTGTGCTCGTCGCCTACTACGCAGCTCTGGAATTTATTCATTAACTAAATCAATATTTGGTTAAATATCAATGGTCTTCTCTTTCATAACTTATTTCTTTCCATCTTTTACACTCCAAGGAAAAATTATAAGTTTTTTTTGTTTCCTGTAAATGGGATTTTGAAGTGTATTCGAGATATGGAAGGAACCATTAATTCTTAAAAACACATTAAAATTTAATGTATAACTTTACATAGTTTCTAAAGTCCTTTTCCGGAAGTGTGTACTAGTAATTTAATATTTTGTTCACATATAGTATGTATCAAGAGAAGATAAATTGTTGGCATCGTATTCAGATTCAGATAGGAGTTTCTATTATATGGAATAAGTTTATGTAAAAAAAAAAAAAAGATGGACTTGCTTTCAGCTGTCTATAAGATTTTAACACAATTTTGTTACCGAAATAACTTAGGCATATATTTCAGTTCCCAACTATTTTTGGTTGTGAAAATACCACATGAAGGCGAAGAAGTCATATTCTCCATCTTTTAGATAAAAGAGTCTTTTATTTTGCAAGAAACCTCTTGATACAAGGTCGTCGCATGAGAGTGGGATCGAGTGCTACTAACTACGTTCGAACTGATCCTTGGATTGCAGAGAAGCCCATCTTGAGGTAGAAGAAGTACATACAACCTCTCAACCCGAAAAGTTAACCATTTAGTCACCAATAGCTAAAACTTCGCACCTTCCAAGTTATAATACTTTTTTTTTAAAAGGATTGATGGATATCCAACATTTTTTTTGGGCCAAAATTGAAAGTGTAAACGTACACTTGAAGAAACAGAGCAACATCGAAGACGAAAAAGAAGAGTATCACTACAAGAAAACAAGACTGTTTCGGACGGACAAAATGGTTGGAAATCCGTCGGAAACACCTGTTTCCAACGGCTTTCCAACCATATCGGCCGTCGGGTTCAGGTGGTCAAAAATTAAGAATCGGTCGGAAATCGTTGGAAAATTTCGACGGATTTCCAACTGCATAATTTTTTTTGGAAAATCTGTTGGAATTTTTTGCCATCGAAAACGTTTTTCTACGGGTTTTCAACGGTTTTGGGATGGATGAATTTCTAACCAATTTCCAATGGATACGTCAATCCGTCCGGAATTGGTTAGAAATAATACCCACCGATTTTCAACGGATAGGACAAGCCATCGGAAATCGGTTGGAAATGTTTATTTTATATCTGAATTATTTTTTAAAAATACCATTATTAATTTATTT